TAGGGTGGTACACTTATAACTATCTATTGTGTCTTCACTAGGGTGGTACACTTATAACTATCTATTGTGTCTTCACTAGGGTGGTACACTAATAACTATCTATTGTGTCTTCACTAGGGTGGTACACTTATAAATACTCCAGCGTTTATGTCTACTTTAACATTAACTAACTCAGGTGTTTTTAGCTCACCTGGCCCAAAGGGCCATGTGAGCTTATGCCATACTCCGGCGCCCGGCAATCAACTTTTTCTTTCGAATGACTTCTTTTGAAGAACTGGAGGACCTAGGGTCATGATATTTGGCCAATAGGTACCTGGGATGGAGTGCTATATAGTTTCCTCATTAAAATGACCTTGACCTACTTTCAAGGTCACAGGGGTCAAGTATGTAAAAAACAGATCTGAAGTTTCCTATGTCAGTTTCAGGTAACAAAAGAAACAGGTGAGCGATTCAGGCCCTCTGGGCCTCTTGTGTGTTACAGGTTCTCTGATTGTTGACAAAATTTCACCGCTTAAAATATATAAACTGTCATGGTTGTTTTTCCAGTATCTGAAATTTAATTTAATTTCACAAAGTACCGCCACTGTAAGAAAATTCTAAAGATTAAGTCATAGAATAGGTTCAGACTTTTTATTTTTAAATAAGTAGCCATGTTTTATCCTAAAAACTATCATTACGTGCTATTTATAAAAAAAATGATTAGTAGATGTATATATTGACTGTTAATGTCCAGGCAAGGTAAAACCTGAAAACACTTGATTTGATGGTTGACTATCACATATCGCAGGAAGAAACTTAACAGTTAGCTTACAGCCGTCGTTTGGCTTACCTGTCGGGGCGAGATTCAGAAGTGTATCAGAACACAATAAAATTACTTCACATTACACCTAGTGCTATTCATGTTGTCATACAATTAATGTAAGCATACAATTATACAAATGGAACAAAATCAATAGACTGTTCCTTGTTAGTAATTACACTCATTAAAACTTGTTGATTTAGAATGTTGTCTTTGTCTTGTGTTCCTCAGAGTATACTGGACCAGTAAACCACTTGTATACCCTCCGATATGTATTTTCACATTACTTGTGAAACTCAACAATACGAATATTAAATGTAAACACTGTTGATCAAGTGCATCTAGATCACCCAGACACACAAACTGATTTAGTGCTTGGTGATAAATCTCCATGGGAGTCTCAAGTTCTGTACTCATACTTCAATGGAGGCCTGAGAATTACATAGAGCAAAGAGTTATAACTATCAGTACTCGGCATCATTCCTGCTGAAACAATTATCTTTACACAGTTATATGAACATGTAAAGTTAAAGTATGAAAATAAGTATTGAGAACATACAAGTGGTTTACAGTAGATTTATTGTTTACTGATAGAAATACAACAAACACCTATAATGGTATATTTTGTGATTGTTTATTTGAAATATCACATTTCATTAGGATTCATCGTACAAACTTCTACAACAGAACTGAGACATAATGTTAGTAATACATAACTTAAAGCAGAGACGGATCTCCACGCAACGTGATCGACTCTAAACCGTGATGATGTACAAGGGAGAATGGCCCTGAACACATTCGTATATTTATACACTTATTGGCGCTCGCACCAAATCAATGACTAACATCATAATTCTAATTAATTAATGAAATATGGAAGATCTTGTCAATCAGAACTGAAATGATAATGAATCTCTTAAATGGTGAAATATTTTGTATACCAGCACTGCAGGCCCCAGGGTCAGGAGAGAATTTAGACTTGTGTCCGGATTTCAATGTTGTTTATAAATTTTGAGGTTTTTTTTTTTATACCTGTGCATTTGCATGGCCATTTTACCAAATTAAAAACAATTTTCTTCGTCCGGCAACTAACAGCCAACTTTTGAGAGTGGACTTCATTCTAGATGCTCTTGAGAACCTGGGTCCGGAAATGAGTTTAAAAGAATGAATCGATGATATGCTGAAATATTTGAAAAAAAAAAGATTCCCTGATTAATTTAGTAAAATTACCTGTCAATTTTAATGTGCGACTTATTTATGGTCCCATAAAGATAATGGCAGTAATAGTAGAACTGAACATCATATTGCAAAAGATGGTTCACTGATGGCCTGCACCACCATGGAAAACAACAGGTGAAAATGTTATTAAAATTAAAGCAAGTTGTACATGTAATAAATTTTATAGGATGGAAGACCAGACTTACTAAACATTTGCTTGCTAAGAATACAATACATGGAAATGGCTGACTTTGTTAATGAGTTTTTCTGGAGTAAATCAAATCCATCCTTCTATAATTAGACCAACTACTTCCTGAAGGATTTTGGTCAAACCTATCTGTCTCCTTCAAAAAAAGGTCCCAGATGTGTAACGGAAGGAAGATAACCTATACAGCTCACCCTTCCCTCTGTTAACCTTCAAACTGATATAAATAAGTTGTATAATGCCTGTTATAAAATGTGTTACAATATACAACAGTTTTGATACACTCATGTTTTGGCACAAATGAGGACAACAAGAAACTGAAAAATTACATTTTCTTTTGTACACAAAGTAAGGCAGGCTTGGGCTAACTAATTTGTTTTTATACTCCATTCCTTACAATCTGTTATATTCTATGTCATCAGCCATAACACGACAGTTTTACATCGTGGGTATGTAACTGTATTACCACATTTGGTGTATTTCACTCTACAAGCTGATCATGGAAATATAAATCTGAAAAAGGCTGTATACCCACAACTGTTTCCTGTCCCACAGCACCAGTGTTATAGATGTGTGGGAAAATGTCATCCTGTTTACACTCACACAATTTTAAGAAGTCCAGCCTGTCTGTAATGAACTGATCTCCGTAACTTTTGAGGCAATATTACCAGTACTAACAAGTAATGATACAAGGAAGAATATGGTATCTGTTGTTTCCTGCTGAACACTCTATGTAAAATCAGCCCTTGTTTTGGTGAACAGTTACAAAACAGAAACATAAATAGCAATATAAGCTGGATAGTTTTTTTTTTTTTACCATAAAATGATGGAAAATGTCATAGAAAGAGTGCAGGGCAAGCTCAGCAATCAAAACACTTCAGTTTACAAAAATAATCAAATAAACATCAGAATTCTAGGAAAGGAGGAGATCAGTTAATCAGCATCAGCCACCTGGGAAAAAAGTGTCCTAAAATTAGCATCTGTTACCACCACAAAGTACTCATGTATCACATGGTTACTTATAGTAACACAGCGTACAACATACCAGTAACAGTATATAGTAACATGAGAAGACAAATGTATCACATGAAGAATGTACATGCTATTATGCACCATTCAATAATCACTACTACATGATTCCGAGTCATTCTAACAAGCACTTTATTCTCAGTAGATATCTCAGTGACATCGGTCATATATCCTTGATGGCCATACTATAGCACGGTCAACTTTGTCTGTGAAGGACAAGTCACATAAATGCATTGAACTGGGGTCATGTTTTTAACACAAGACAGCCATTCAAACATCGGCAAGCAATTCCATGAAATTAAAGTGATTTCTTGAACCCTGAATACAAAAAAAACCATTTCATTTTCAGGGTTATTAGTCAGTCAATATAAATCAGGAAATTTGTAACTATCACTTTTCTGGAATAACTGGTTTAATAATATTGAAATATGTGTATAACCTGGTTTATCAATATCACTAACATAAAGACCGGTTAGCTTTTCTATGTTGTTTGACGTCAAACTATAGCACTATCAATTTCGTCACTACAGAGTCATTTTCAAGGCAGTCTTATTTTCACTTCAAACTTTTGGACATTTTTAATACAATTGAATTGATGTACAGTGACTATTGGGACCTAGACTTGTGGTAATTTACCCACGGTACGACTGAATCTATAGGACGGTTAGTATTTCATTGAGCTTTTTGAACACACTAGAAGATATACTGCATAAAAGTTTGTAATTTACACCAATACAATAAAACTGTGGACAGACTTGTATTGAGCAAACCAGTAACTGGTTCTGTGTGATATGATCAAAAATATACAATATCAACTTGTTCTAGAAACTCGCTCCTGTGTCTTGGAGTTATCTCCCCTTGTTATGTTGAACGGTACAGCAGTAGCTTATACTTTACTGACCAAGAACACGCGAGACAGGTTGTATCAATCATGATAGCTTATAATGGTATGCTAATGTCAAATTTGAATATTCATAAATTCTTAGATGGACACTTAATATAGCAAATTGTAATATTTCATCTTTCCAAGTTATAATTTCTATTTAAAACATTCAAATTTCAAGCAAATATAATTCTTTTCATGGAAAGTTCTAAGAAAAGTACTTAAACAAGTATTTCAAGATGGAGACAGTGGTAAACTTTGGTAATAATATAGTTTTAACTTGTCAGTACCCTTCACCCTATTAAGAACCCCGTTAGCTTATTTTACTGTACCCCGGGTGCTAATTATATTAATTATGGAAAATACATTATTCAGAGAATTGTAATTTATCATTGCTGGGTGTTGGTTGGTTGGTTGGGGGGGATACAAACTAGTAGATGGAAGGATATTATATATACATATATATCTATATATTATTTTTAAACTGTATACTAATGTAAATGCAGATATTGTCAAAGACATTCATTAAGGAAAGAATCACAGTTTAACATGAAAATCATACATCACACATCAAACAAATATACAAGTGACTTTTAAAGCGAGAGGAGGGGGGGGGGGGGAATCATGAGGAAATGGACATCTGATGATGATGTACAAAACTCTTTGGTTATCTTCCTGAGTTTTTCTTTCACATCATTGCAGGAAAGAGTGCTACTTCTCTTGGCTTTGTACAAACTTAATAATTCGCACAAGGTTCAGTGAGAGGCAGGACCTAACACAGTCAAATTGTCAGCAAACAACTTAAATGTATATCAAATTAACTAGAAAACGGCCGCAAGTATTACATAATCTATAATAAATCATAGAAACACATTTACTGATTACTTGTCTGTTTTTGTGTACATAAAACAGTACACAAATTCAGTACAGCCTTCCTGAAAATTTGGGTCGCATCAATATTTGAGAATCTGATGAAGGCATTTTCTCACTGAAGACAAATATACATTGACAAAATTATTTTGCAAGTTTTCTCAGAAACAGATGTAAATCCGCTGATTAGGGATGTCAAACAGGTATGAAAATCCCAACTGGTTTGAAAACTTGAGATGACATTAATATGATGAATGTAGAAGCAAGGAAGATGAGGACTACTTAAATCTGTGACTCCAGTCTCCGTGACAAGGTACAGTCTCCTTGACAACGCACAGTCTCCGTGACAACACACAGTCTCGGCGACAACGCACAGTCTCGGCGACAACGCACAGTCTCCGTGACAACACACAGTCTCCGTGACAAAGCACAGTCTCCTAACAACACAGGGTATTACCAATCACCAGTATGATAATGAACGCATAATGAACAGACATTGGCACCAACACAAACTCCTTAGGATAATTTCCACTCCAGCACAAGGCGTATGACAAGGCCACCATTGTGATTATTTCCACTCCAGCACAAGGCGTATGACAAGGCCGCCATTGTGATAATTTCCACTCCAGCACAAGGCGTATGATAAGGCCACCATTGTGATTATTTCCACTCCAGCACAAGGCGTATGACAAGGCCGCCATTGTGATAATTTCCACTCCAGCACAGGGTGTATGACAGGGCCACCGTTGTGGTTACCTGGGGAGATGTTGGCACTACAGAAAGATAAGCTGTGACATCATTGTTGTAATCCATTCCATGTGATTCTGACTATTCCAACACAGGGTTTACTACGTATGAAGATAAAAGGTCTAACACAGATATTTATAAATATATTTCTATGAAGTGCAACAATTTAAGTCATGTTTTCATCCCATTGTAAATCTGTGCGGTTTTTTAATGCTTTATGAAATTTGGTCTCTAATCGTTTTCGTGCTTTCGTCTCCTCTTCAAGTTCCCTCTTCATTTTCTTTTGATCCTGTTGAAAATAATACAATATTCTTCTTAAGACTATTCTGGTAAAAAAAATTGCTGTGATGTGTTTTCTTAACCCTGGTAACACAATATTGAACTTTGAACTTTCACCATGACCTAAAAACTAAACAAGAATTACGCATAATTATATGTGTCGCCTGTCCCGCTTTGTCAATATAATAAGCATTTGACATAGTACATATGGAAACGGACCTAAACGTAAAATCATAACATTGATTTTTTTTAAAGTCCAGAAATTTCAGGTTTTTATCCGAAAAAGTGCAGAAATCCATGAAATGTTTTCAGAGTAGTAGGCTCTACTACCCATGATACATGTATGATTGAGGTTTGGTTGGTCTAGCTCTTATACTTTGTCAGAAAAAGCCTAATATGCAAGAGCTAAACGCAAAACCTTAACGTTGAGTTTTTTTCCAAGTCCAGAAATTTGAGTTTTTTACCAAAAAAATGCAGAAATCGATGAAATGTTTTTAGTGCATTAGGCTCCACTTCCCATGCTACATCTATGATTGAGGTTTTGTTGGTGTAGCTTTGTCAGAAACACAGCTAAACGCAAAACCTTAACACTGTTGACACCAAGCAGCGCCTGTGTCTTTTCGACATCCGTCGTAGGCGACACAAAAATAGACCTCTTGCTCTATTCAATTTCAATAAAGTATCTCACTTCTGGCCATTTAGGGAACTGGCCTTATACACAAGTTACATTTTATCTGCTGTACTTGGCCCCCATGTATAATGTTAAAACAGAAGTGGGCTTACTACCAATCCCCAATGGTAAAAGTAGACATTATAATGAGCCAGACGTCACTCGGTCTTAGGGGATTTATAATTAACTCACCTGCTCCAGGTTTTTCACTTGATCTCGCAACGAGTACACTGTGTCAACAAGGGTTCTGAGGAGAAAGATAAATTTAATTTTAAAGTCATTTCGATTTTGATATTTGAATGACATACAACACACAAATATTGAAAAATATACATAGTTATATAACCTACCTATACTGAAAGTTCTTACAATTATGTTTTTGAGATAAAAAAAACAAAAAAAAACCCAGATTTGTTTCATATTTCTGTGTGCAACAAATTTAATCAGTTACTTGGGACCCCAATTTTAAAAGGCTATTAGTAAGATAGAAATTTCCTACACCCCTTTCTTACCATGGACAGCTCTATCTTACACACAGGGAAATGAGAGACCAGTGACATGTCTACATGTTATGGAAACATCACATATAAACATGTCACTGGCTGTGCTATATGAACCTGTATACAACCTATGTTTACCAACCTGAAGAATCTGTTTAGAAACACTTTAGGATAATTAGTCCAGACGAATGTTTTTCTACAGACAGACCATGCCATCCTGATTTCATAAATACCCCTCTTATATCATTACATGTAATAACTAAGATACCTTTCCATCAATTTTTTATGATTCACTCGGATCAAGTGGTTCATTTTCATTGATTATAGGTCACAATTTAAGAAGATGTGTATTACAGCTAGATTTTTTGTTACTTACTTTTCCTGGATGGTGGAGGGGTCGCCTTCGTCCACGATGATCTTCTCCTCCTCCGCTATCAATACATGGGGACTGGTGAGCAAAGCTGGCATAACAAGCACAATACACAACACATGAGCAAATCAAACAGCAAACAAAAGCACATGCTCGCAACAACCCAGCTCACACTTCAGTTGTCTTTACTCCTAAAGATGTCTACCGTAGTTATTCTATCAAACAACCCCTCCATAATGATATATGTTCCTCACACTTCAGTTGTCTTTACTCCTAAAAACATGTCTACCGTGGTTATTCTATCAAACAACCCCTCCATAATGATATATGTTCCTCGCACTTCCCTTTAATTGTCTTTACTCCTAAAAACATGTCTACCGTATTTATTCTATCAAACAACCCCTCCATAATGATATATGTTCCTCGCACTTCCCTTCAATTGTCTTTACTCCTAAAAACATGTCTACCGTATTTATTCAATCAAACAACCCCTCCATAATGATATATGTTCCTCGCACTTCCCTTAAATTGTCTTTACTCCTAAAAACATATCTACCGTAGTTATTCTATCAAACAACCCCTCCATAATGATATATGTTCCACCCACTTCCCTATTTCTCTGAATATTGTTATCATGAGAGATATAGATATCAATATACAGTATAAGAGAAACATAACCCTCATATACATAGTTTATCAGTACCAATCATGTCCTGTTTGAAATCCCTATTTTTCATCTTATTTATTTAAGAAGAAATATACCTGATGCCCCATCTCCTTAAAACTGTTAAGCCAAAGGAATGCTTTATTAGAATAAGTACGGTACGGCTTGTTATTTTTTTCTTCTTCCATTTTTAACAGCTTTAGTTCATAGAAATGATTGAGATTCCATTGTGAAAAGTTCTCTAAAAAGCAATGGTTTTAGCTGAACTAAGTTAATAAGGTCATATAACAATTGGTCCTTTTTGAGAATTTTGACTTTTGATTTTATTTGTTAACTGGACAAATTAGATGAAGATAATGTGAACCGAATTGCTGCAGAAATCATATAAAATTAAATCAACAACATTTATCAAATGCAAAAGTAGTTACAATATATCAAACATGCATTAAACACAATAACACAATAACTTAGCGACATTGGTGACAGTCTGACCTGGTGAATCGGACCAGAATACTCATCACAGACCTGGTGAATCGGACCAGAATACTCATCACAGACCTGGTGAATCGGACCAGGACACTCATCACAGACCTGGTGAATCGGACCAGGATACTCATCACAATCTGTTTGATGGAGTATTATTGTCAACAAGAAATATAATGATGGGAGATCTAAAAAATGTAACAGTTGTGTTGTTTGGGCACATTTACTTGTTATAGTCTTATTTGACTAGCCAAGTTCGTTTTAGCCAGAAAGGTACTTTGACTCGTAAGAGAGCGACTTACTCATATGAGCTAATGTTACGTTTGGTATTGGTCCATTGGGAGGGGCTACAACTCCCTCGAGGTAGAACAGGTATTTGGCTTGTCCAAGTTTCATTTGGAAGGGATATTTGACTCATTGGAGTAAACTTTGGAGGGTATTGACTCATCCGAGTTAGCCAGGTTCTACCGTGTATACTGTATACACGGCAGAACCTGGCTAACTCGGATGAGTCAATATTTGTATAGTATACACAGGGTCACCTTCAGCCAAATATACTTACACAGATATGAAAGGCTAAAGGTTGTTCAGATTATTAACAAAATCACATACTTCAAAATGAAAAAACAAAACACACATTACGAACTGCTAGAAATCGTGCAAATGCATGTTCAGGATACATTTGCATGCAGTTGATATCCTCAACCCCTCCCACAATCTTTTCATGATCAGAGAATTACTCAAACTACTTGAACTGAAAAAAAGACAAATATTTACAAATTTTTCCTTAGTTTTCTTTTGTAAATACTTTAAGAATTGACTGAGAAACACAACAATCTGTAGGGAGTTCTGTAGTAAACCAACAGGTCCAATCACTACATGCGGATACTGGTACGAGGAATACCTTTACCCGAGACTGGACAACACAACAATCTGTAGGGAGTTCTGTGGTAAACCAACAGGTCCAATCACTACATGCGGATACTGGTACGAGGAATACCTTTACCCGACACTGGACAACACAACAATCTGTAGGGAGTTCTGTAGTAAACCAACAGGTCCAATCACTACATGCGGATACTGGTACGAGAAATACCTTTACCCGACACTGGACAACACAACATCAAGGTAATCAACGATCTTAAAGGTATATAATAATGAGCAACTTAATAAAAACAAAGCGCATCAACAAAACAACACATAACAAAATACAACAATTTGTAACTACCATTCTTACACAAGTCATTTTTAACTATTTACATGCAAGACAAAAATTTCATCAACAGTTAAAATCTCACGATAGTCTTACAGAATAGAAAATTCAATGATTTTATAACAGATCCTGGGATTTACTGTTTCTTTTGCTTTTCAAGTTTAGTTAATTAATAAAGTATTAAAAAATTCTTTGAGTTAATTTACTCCACTAATCTGTAGACGGGTTTCATATAAAATATTAAAGCTTCATATTAACCAGATTCTGATACACTGGTGCCTGTAATAATAAACAGATACCTTAACATATTAGTAATATTCACATCTAGGACAAACACATTCAGATCTAGGACAAACACATTCAGATCTAGGACAAACACATTCAGATCTAGGACAAACACATTCAGATGAAGACAACTTTTATTTACAAATTTCTCCATAGGTTTTATTTACATGTATAGCAGAATGATCATGACTTAAAATAATCTGAGATCAGTATCAACCATTTGACACATCATGTGATACAGTACCATGTGACACATCATGTGTTACAGTACCATGTGATTCATCATGTGATACACACAGTACCATGTGACACATCATGTGATATGCACAGTACCATGTGACACATCATGTGATACAGTACCATGTGATACAGTACCATGTGACATATCATGTGATACAGTACCATGTGACACATCAAGTGATATACACAGTACCATGTGACACATAATGTGATACAGTACCATGTGACACGTCATGTGATACAGTACCATGTGATGCATCATGTGATACACACAGTACCATGCGACACATCATGTGATATACACAGTACCATGTGACACATCATGTGATATACACAGTACCATGTGACACATCATGTGATACACACAGTACCATTAGACACATCATGTGATATACACAGTACCATGTGACACATCATGTGACACATTACCATATGACACATCATGAGATATACACAGCACCATGAGACACATCATGTGACACAGTACCATATGACTCATCATGTGATATACACAGTACCATGTGACACATCATGTGATATATCCTATGGAAATCCTCTACACTTGGATCACAGAACTTTTTGCGTAAGGTGAAAATAGATACCATTATCATTATAATGTTGTACATCAAATTTTCATAAAATCACATTTTTCTTTGATTTAAGTACATCTGTTTTAAACTATTAAGACAATTCAAGAAATTATCAAGACAATTTTCACTTATATCAATAAAATTAAAGATAATTTCTTAAAATTTCAACTTTAAAAAAATCTCTACTATTCATATAGCAATGTAATAAAATTATGAATTAAGATCTTGGAATGAAAAAAATCTAACTAATTGATTCATCAAAATACTTGCAATCAAACATTTTTTTTGTTGGTGTAAAAATAAATTTCTTAATGTAAACTACTCACAACCGAGAGGAAAAGAGTTCTCTTTACTTGTGCCACAGAACAAAACTAGTGGAGAACAGGTCTCATGCTGTTAGCCAAAACAGGGTTAACTGGTAATGTTCCATGTGTATAATAATGGTACAAAAATAGTTGAACATGCAAAAAATAATACAGACTTTTTACAACCCTTCAAAAAATACTTCCATAACAATGATTGGACTAGCACTGTCACTTATGTACAGAATACATTATGGTTGACAAATAAGGCTTTGCCTTTATTACGCGACAAGAAAAATAAGGATCACAACAAAGAAACAAGTTACTACAAATTTAAACTTAAATTAAAATATTGCCCTTTGTACTTGGATGTCTAGACCACATTTCTTCACCTTTGATGTTTTGATGCATGGTTTGATACCAAACTATTTCTTTTACAGAAATCTGACCGAAATTTATGAGTGGTATTAGTAGAAGATGTACAGTCCGGCAATTACAACTACATAACATTGTAACTGGGTAGACTATATCAATAAAGGTCGAATCAACCAATTTATTTTCATTTTCAAAATACATCTGTGGTATTCAAAATGAATAAAGAAAAAATAATACAAAAACTCAAGACATTCGATAACTTCTAATGTTACAGACCGTCTGTGTTGTCAACGATAATCACAAACAACCAGTATTGGCCCACAAATACATAAACAACCGTCTGTTGTAACCAAACTCTCTGTCACGGGTTAGTACATGTTAATCATTTCATTCAGAAACAGGAGGCAAGCCAGCTCAAATGTTAAGGGGAGATAATAAATGGCCTTCTGCACAAACATCCTCTATTACTGTCTTGTGTTTAGGACTTGTATAAAAACGGTGTGAGTTGAGTTTACCACACCAATAAAGTTGGTAAAGCGGGTCTATGCATAGCAGTCCTATACACTAAACAGAGCGGATCGTTCTGTGAGCAGTAAAAGGCTCAACACCTAGTCAGTACATTCAAAATGCAAGTTCAAGGCATTCTCATGAAAATGTGTTTCACAATATACCCAGTTTCAAGGTTTTGTAATGCACAATATAAACAACATATTCTTGGGTGGGGAGGTGGTGTATGCAGTCACATTAAAAATATCTCTACAATCATCTATCGAAATATTGATTAAAAAATAAAAATAAAATAAAAAAATGTTGAATTTTTTAAGGTATGTGACAGTGGAACATTGTTAATCTTTCCTTAAAAAATATCTTACTTTCCAGTGACAAAAACAATGATTTATGGATTTTTGTTTTGATTCAAGTAAAGAATAATTCCTGCAAAAAAACCTTTTCATTTCATGCCATCTGTCAGAGAAAAAAAGTGACCTTACAAAAAAAGTGTATTTCTGTGAAAATAAATCACTTTTAAGTATTAAGTTTAAGTGTATGTACAGATATACAAAATTAATATAGCTATCAAACTATTGAGCTAGCTATTTGAAAATTGTTCTTTTGGAATTATTTGGATGCTTTATTGGAAATATTACAGTCCAGACTAACAAGCTTCCACTTCGTATATTTTCCCCTAATGCTAGTTTTCTCCGGTGACTGAGTAAGTAACATATTATGACTATCCTAGGTCTGGTGCCAGAATTGATGTTAAGGGCATGTGTTACATTGTATATCACAAAACCAAGTTCTGGGTAATATACCTTGGGTACCGACGTCGCGGCGGACGCCCGGGCTCGCGTCGGGCAACATGGGCTTCACCACATTGATAGACTCTTTTGGTATGGCTAGAACGGCATAGAGTACATGTTAAATATTGCAGGTCACATGACTAGAATAGCGCATATTGTAGGTTCCTCATTAAGGTTGCTTCAATCAACCCAACTTTACAACACTTGATTGGGACAAAAATTACGGTGATACCCGTATCAAAATAATATCAAAATATTTCATAAAATCATGAATAAAAAGAACAGATATTTTAATAAATATACTTAACACATAACAATCAAAGCTACAACATAAAAATATAATTGTGGAGTATTAATGGACCAATAGGTTTTGACTTCAGTGACACTGCTACAAGACAACACTACACTTATCTACCTCTACCCAAATAAGTTACTTCTGAGATCAACGGCACAAGGCTGAGTCATATAATATATATGGAAAATGAAAGTAACTAACAATAAATATTGACGAGTTGGATAAACCTTCTCCAAAAAAACTTTTAAAAAGAAGGTGATCATTTTGACATATTTATAGCATTATTTGTCAAACATACCTTCAAGAAAGTTATTAAATGAAAAGGAATGATAAAGTGATTTAACACAGGTATTTAGCCATTCATGAAGAGCAAAGAGATCTAATCAATGCACATACCAATGTATATGGTGGTATATCTTGATGCATAAACAATTGTCGATCTAAATCTGAGCAAGCATATAGGGAAAGTAACTTCAAGTCAAAGAGTCATAACATTGTAATGTCGTTGAAATGAGCAAGCATGACGAAAATGTTCTCCAAACCAGAAAAATCATTTCTACATAACTCTTGTACAACATGTGAACATGCATACTAGTAAATCGCTGATAAACACTAAGGTAATGGTTCAACCAAACTCTTCTAGTCATGCGATTCCTTACTCGTCCTATGTATACATATGGTAAATTGTATCGCTATATATATCCTTAACGGATCTGGGACTTTTTCAAATTTAATTAAGACATTTACAAATATTGCAGAACCTTTTCAATCTGGATTATAATTCTGTTAACCACTTCTAATGTCATGAGAGATCAGTTTGTGGTAACTCCAGAGGCAACCCATTCACTGTTCCAAATCGTATAGGAAAAGATAGAAAATTACTGTTAAAACTGAAATAACGTCCTCCCAAACAGGAGTTCAAGTATTTGCTGGTAAGATCTACAAGAAGAGTTTGCAAAATGAAAATCATGTCAAATTAAATTGATTTAAAGTTTTTGAGAAAACTTAATATCCAGCATTACACAATATACATACAATTTACAGTTATCCCCCTTTTAGATTTGAGGTAGCATAATTTAATCCAGAATCACCATAACGGTGTGAATTTATGCAAACAACATAACTTTTTAAGATGTCAATTATAACTAAACTAATCAGTTCGAAAAGAAATTTTACTTATATCTTGAAACTTCTTCAGTAAGACAGCCTATGTCCTCTCAAGTCATTGATTATGATTATCTTATGATTACGTTGTTATGCACAAATCTGGTATTGACACGAGGAGTAAATTTTCAAAGAAATTCAGTTTCATCAAAATTTCATCAAAAGGAAACAAATGTGTACAACTACTACTCACACATTACTGGTTGTAATGAGGGATGAGGTATACACACAAAGGTTGACTTTGTACGGGACTGAAAAACGAGTTACTGGGTTAATCCCCGACATACACGTGAATAACCTAATATAAGTGTCCAGATTAACAAGGTTCCACAAATCTAGTCCAAATACTGTCAATACATTTTATCTGACTGAAGAAAACAGACAGACTCAGAAAAAGGCCTATCTAAGGTGTAATCTAACTATCCCTGTCAACATTTGAGGATTGCTATTTCACAGCTGTTATAAAACCTCGACCCAGTCTCTCACAGATTTTGTAAACTCTGCTCTTGTAATAACATCCTTGCCTGTAGCTCACCTTTTGCCTCATTTTCACTGTACTTGATTTTCTTCAAAGAAATAACTGAAATGAGTAACCATGTCATACGGTTTAGATTAACAATATTCTACAGTTAGAGGCCGGGTTGTTTGTTCGCAAACCTGTAAAACAAAGTGTGATAGGCATCCCCTCCACGTCCTGGCTTCTCGTCCCGGAAACAAATCCATCAGGTTGTAATAGCATGCTAAGTGATGAAATTATACAATCTAGTCATTCAGCTGACGGGTCATTCACTCGTCTGAAGAGTTTAGAAAATGATGAAGTTCTAATCTCTTACTTGTGGTGTCAGGGAAAAAAATATTGGAGAGTATGAAGGATTATGTTAGCATCAAATAATCTGATTGTTAGGGGTATTAGATAAATTGAACTCTTCCAGTCTTAGGTTTTATTGGTTGATACCTAGTTGTATGGAGGTCTGCCTATCACTGTGTGTTGTCATATTGTTCTCTCAGAGTATATACAATATTGTTCTCTCGGAGTATATACAATATTGTTCTCTCAGAGTATATACAATATTGTTCTCTCGGAGTATATACAATATTGTTCTCTCAGAGTATATACAATATTGTTCTCTCGGAGTATATACAATATTGTTCTCTCAGAGTATATATACAATATTGTTCTCTCGGAGTATATACAATATTGTTCTCTCAGAGTATATATACAATATTGTTCTCTCAGAGTATATACAATATTGCAATGTTTTGTAACCCTCCGTATCTTACGTAGGACAGAGCCTTTTATATGGAGAGTAAATAAATTGACCGACCACTCTGATATTTACTGTAACTACATACAGCTGCTACGTATCCTTCAGTTTGGAAAATATGGATTTGAATCTGAATATTGTTATGTTGAAAATTGGTGCCGTGTCCAGGATTTATAGTGGAACTCTTCAAACTCTAAATGTCGGATACAGTACTTCTATACCAATGACACATGCTGTTAGCATATACAAGTATATAGATACAACATTCCTTGTCGTAACCGATTCATTTTGGGATCTGGACTTTTAAAAAGGACAAGGGAGGTAACTCAAGGGTATAAATCGGAGGATGATACAATCATACGGGGACAGATGGATAAGAGACAGGATGGATTGAAAGGGCAGACAGGGCTATCTACTCTTTTATCAATGCAAAAATAACATTTCCTACTTTTGCAAGTAAGTTTCAGGCCAATGCAAAAATTATCTGCTGTCTACTATTATATAGACAAGCTATAGGAGTACTCTACGTGTGCGAGTATGTGTTTGTGGGGTGGGACTTCTACACTAGGTGTGTCGTAGCATGCGTCGTCTCATGATGCGGGTACCTGGTGCGGTGCTGTCCTGTGATGATGACTCGGTAATGGGACTGAGGTTAGGATTAGGCAGTGGGCGCACCAGACTAAATTTTTCCTTTGCCAATGCTAGAACAACAACAGTACAGTGTTGTGTACCGCTATCACATCACATTCACCCACGACCTTCTTACATCTGTATTACTCCCCGCACACAACATCTCAATGGATCAGGACAAACAACATAAGTTAACATCACAATTCATGTTTCTATCTAAAAATTAATTTGAATATTTTTTTCAGTACACGACTTCTTATTAAGTCACACAAAAAATAAATTTAAAGTGTCTGTAACATTAATAAATGTCACAGCAAACACAGTAATATTACATTAGATTGCTAGCATGATTATAATGTACATGCACCCTTACTGTTTTTACATCATTTCTTTACTTCAGATGTACAACGCTTTATTTTGATAAGTTACAGTAGAATTTGCGATGTACATCATATTGACATATAGAGAACCCCTTGCACAGTTTTCTTTTCTTTGGAACCAATTCTTTCAACATAATCTTTTAAACAGTTTAAAAAGCAACCCAGATAATGTAATTTTATTTCAAAGCATTAATTCAAAAATGTAATCAATGTGAATGTGATCAACACGTATCACTGTTTCCAAACTAAAATGATAAAAAGGCAAATAATTTGACAAATCATACTGTAAAAAAGATAAATACACTAATTTACAAGGTCACACAGGAATAAAGTACATGTTTAAATCTAGTATCGTACTATATTACTCAATAGCACTGAAGCTTTGGTGGCGATACATATCATACAGGGCCATGCTAAGCATTTATAGCGTGGTCGGAGGGTGCTAGGTAACATTTATTACACAGGTATGCTACATACAAATAATACCTCATTAGCAGCGCTAGGACACGCCTATAGCATGGTTTGGACGACATTTGGTAAAATCTGTAGCATGGCATCACAACATTGGTCTCACCTATAGCATGGTTTTGGTGTCACTAGGGAAAATGTGTAGCGTAGCGTCACAACGTTGGTCATATTTATAGCATGGCTTGAGCGTTAGTGACAATAGGTCACATTTATAGCATGGCTTGAGCGCTAGCGTCAATAGGTCACATTTATAGCATGGTTTTGGTGTCACTAAATCTAACACAGTTGAGCTACGCAAAGTCACAGGATTTGTAACCAAAATCAGGCACAATCTTTCTGTGAAGGTACATTGTAGTGATAAACTCAGCGAATCCATGAACAGGTACAAGATCTAAGATGACCAGCAATGTAAACAACACATCGTACTAGAATTATTGCAAAATGTAGATTTTACATCAGGAACAGTATATTGAAATTCACACAGAATATTGAAACATTTGTTTGATCACTAGTTTTCTATATAAAATAAAGCATCATGCTGATGGGAAGCCACATCACCTTCACTGATCACTTGTGCTGGACCATCTAAACACCAACATAACTTTGACCGGTCACTTTATCACTTATATGGCCGTGACCAATCAATTTATCACTTGACCAATCACAGGACGCCTCAGTAACAAACATATTAATCCTGTATACAGTGGAACCTCTTTTCTCCAGAAAATTTGGTTTCCGAAAAAAAGGAAGTATTTGTTCCTAATGAGAGTCGAGGATCATTGATCCTTCCTAATGAGAGTCGAGGATCAGTGATCCTTCCTAATGGGAGTCGAGGATCAGTGATCCTTCCTAATGGGAGTCGAGGATCAGTGATCCTTCCTAATGGGAGTCGAGGATCAGTGATCCTTCCTAATGGGAGTCGAGGATCAGTGATCCTTCCTAATGGGAGTCGAGGATCAGTGATCCTTCCTAATGGGAGTCGAGGATCAGTGATCCTTCCTAATGGGAGTCGAGGATCAGTGATCCTTCCTAATGGGAGTCGAGGATCAGTGATCCTTCCTAATGGGAGTCGAGGATCAGTGATCCTTCCTAATGGGAGTCGAGGATCAGTGATCCTTCCTAATGGGAGTCGAGGATCAGTGATCCTTCCTAATGGGAGTCGAGGATCAGTGATCCTTCCTAATGGGAGTCGAGGATCAGTGATCCTTCCTAATGGGAGTCGAGGATCAGTGATCCTTCCTAATGGGAGTCGAGGATCAGTGATCCTTCCTAATGGGAGTCGAGGATCAGTGATCCTTCCTAATGGGAGTCGAGGATCAGTGATCCTTCCTAATGGGAGTCGAGGATCAGTGATCCTTCCTAATGGGAGTCGAGGATCAGTGATCCTTCCTAATGGGAGTCGAGGATCAGTGATCCTTCCTAATGGGAGTCGAGGATCAGTGATCCTTCCTAATGGGAGTCGAGGATCAGTGATCCTTCCTAATGGGAGTCGAGGATCAGTGATCCTTCCTAATGGGAGTCGAGGATCAGTGATCCTTCCTAATGGGAGTCGAGGATCAGTGATCCTTCCTAATGGGAGTCGAGGATCAGTGATCCTTCCTAATGGGAGTCGAGGATCAGTGATCCTTCCTAATGAGAGTCGAGGATCAGTGATCCTTCCTAATGGAAGTCGAGGATCAGTGATCCTTCCTAATGGAAGTCGAGGATCAGTGATCCTTCCTAATGAGAGTCGAGGATCAGTGACCCTTCCTAAATAACTATGTACTTTGAGGCTCTGAATACAAATGAAAGTATCTGTGGTATTACATCTTTATATTGTGTGATGTCAGGAGGAATGGGTCATCTTGTGGTATAAGCTACCTTAAACATTACATCTGGTACTTGTGTTACAGTTATCACCCCTAGTTTTACTACCGTCATCTGATACAAATATTTACATTCTTCTTTGTACTTTTAAGAATCTCTTAGATGTCACCAATAAATTGTTCAAAGTACCATTACAAAGTTTATTTCAGTGTGTAACATTTTTGTATAGGAGGTGTAAAGTAAGGTAGCTGATAGCCCTAGAGAAACAGTGACAGTCACACTTTTGTTTCTGACTATGTATAAGTATCCAGACGGAGGGGGAATGGATGTTTTACTAGTTGGGTCTAATTTACATTCCTTTTCATAAAAGTTTGTTAAAACTACAGCAGGTTATATTTGTTCATCAGCAGTGTCTGGTTTATTGGGACACCAATGTATATTGTAGAATATAGTGATCCTGCAAGTCGACTCAAACTTATTCAAATAGTTATATAGAGAAAAGAACAGCATACATTATGTTTTACTCTCTATACATCAGATAGAAATTGAAAATACTATGAAATATTACCCAAACTCGAGTGCTTCAGTACATACCTGTACAATACTATAACATATTTATAACATTCTTAAAAATCTCTCAGTCTCTATATTAGGCAGGGTACTTTTCTCTAAATATCTGTTTCTGCATATATATGTACGATAGAAATGTTCTTAACAAGTCATAACAGTTTTGTAAAGGGGAGGTAACTCATGCATGAGCACAAAAGCAACATGGACAAGTCAATCGCAGAATACATCAATATAATAATTTGTCAAGAAAATAGGAATTTCCTATATACACTTTGGTGTAGAGCGTGGTTCCTCGGAACATATGATCGGAAGGATTCTGTATCGGAGAAAATCTGTACATTCTGTTGTATGTCACTTGTAACAACAGAAATGACCACAGCACGATGGAAATCTTAATCATCTACCTTAATTCATCTTCACATTTCACTGCAGCTTTTGTCACTTGACAATGCAAAAGACACATTAATTATTTCGCTTTTACGACAATGAAACATTTTTTTTCTCTGATTTCATGGCAGACAATTAAAATGGCCTATATCAATTCCATTTAAGCAGGACTTTGACCCGAGTGTGGGTCTGGCTCCTACAGACGTTTGATTGTTTTTGCCAGCCCCTTCGCCAGAGGGAATGTAGCACAACAGAAGCCGGGAAGCATTCCTCGGTTGCTATGGAGAAACTGGAGTTCCTCCATCTCCGGCGACATGAGCGTGTCGCCATAACCCTGGATTGTACCGTCTTCGTTGAGGCGTAGCTTTTTCAGGTCCACTACAGAACGGTACGAGGTTATCGAGAGGGTTAGTAGTCGAGGCAGAAGGCAAACATGTCCACGCAGCAATAAGGGAAACAGAAATAAGGTGAATATCTAATCAACCATGAGAGTGGGTCAACCATGCATAGTTACTGTAAATCACCTCATATTGGCATACACCCATTTTTGTGTGTATTCATTTTCTTGATGGTTGTCCCAATATTTAATTTGCGAGAATTTAAATTTGTGCAAAAAGTCAACCAGAACCAAAGATATCTTGTTTAATATTGTGTTTGGAAACATATTCTGGTGCTATCTGATTTCTTAATCAGCTTTCAACACGTTCCAATAAGAAAATACACATTTCATAAAATATCGATGGTTCACAGTATGCAGCACGCCAGACATAATCTACGATAAAATTCTATAAGCTGTGCAATTGAAATTTACAAAATTGAATTTAAACTTGCATTTGGAAAACTTTGATTAGCAAAATTGTTGATTAAAAGAAAATTTCTTAATAGGATTAATCTACATTTTCATCTTCAAAATTTAGGAGCATATTTTCAATACGAGTTATTAACCACATCTATTTTGTGAAGGTTCATGCACAAATGTTGTGCCCATTATGCATAGTTTCATGTTAAGTTCAATTTACAGCCCATTGTGATAACATTTTACGTTATTCCCATTCTATTTCTACCACTCCTAAATCTCGCCATGAATTCTACTGATATCATCCTAAATGTGGGTTCTCGTCTTCTTATAGAATTTAAAAATAAACATTTTTGCTTCCATACGATATCAAATACTCAATTTTGATGTTAACATGAGATCTTTTCATAGGCATCTACAAATTTGTGCATCCATATAATTATTTTTCTCCTTTTAACCTGACATGATCATAAAACAAGCAATTTGTTATATAAAGCACCTACATCTTAATGCAGGGTACTTAATAGCACCAATTTTTAAGAAGAGAATTATTTAGATTTAAAGAAGGCAAAAACTGTCACCAAAGCTGATTTTATATTTCTGCAAATTTGTCATTGTAAATAATTCTAGTCTATAAATCTACCCAATTACCAGGTGAATCAACACCATTCACAACCGATATTGAAATATCATACTCGAATACATATCTCAATGTTCAGTATTCAACTGTACAGAACACACAGATTTTATATCTTTGTCAATGGTACATATGGTTTATATACATCAGTATACACATCACTCACCATACACACAGCACAAGATACACACAGTTTACATACAATGACATCCAGCAGGATACACACAGTTTACATACAATGACATCCAGCAGGATACACACAGTTTACATACAATGACATCCAGCAGGATACACACAGTTTCAGACATTTACAGTTCACACACTGTACAAATCTCACATATCTTTTTTAACTCATTCACCCCTGAAATTTCATAATGAACTATTCCAACTTTTGAATTGGAAGAGTTTAAATGTGTCTTCAGGGGTGAATGAGTAAAAACACATTTGCAATGTCATATTCAGTTTAGAAATACTACAGTAAAATGTTTTTATGCCATCACCATTCGTCCAGCGTAACACCAGCATTATAACGTACGTGGGTTTGACAGTATAATGCGGGGAAACATATAAAGGAATTACTGAGGAGCTAAAGTAGGGACAAAACAACCAGGTGTCACCGTCATAGAACGTTGGAATCTCCAAACTCCTGATAATCCACGATAGATATAGAATTGTCCAGGCACCATCTGATGTTTACAAGGGTTAAACACGACAACTGACAATATAATTGTCACGGCAACCAATGACATTGACACAATGTTGTCATGGCAACCAATGACATTGACAAGCATTGTCAATGACAACTGATCACCATGACACACAATAATTGTCATGACAGCTAACAACCTTATAATCATTAATTATGACCGATAATGTTAATATAATATTCGGCAACCACTGACAATTATATAAACCTGTGATTTATATTAGTCAACAATGCAAAATTCTTGCAGTTTTTACAGACACATTACCATTCATAAAACATTTGGAATGCTAGAAGGAAGGTAGCATACAGCCTTAACAGAGAACAAATTACCAGCACAAGTGTTAAATTCTACCCAGGCCTGAGGTTCTGGTTATAACCATCTTTACAGCTTATCTAGAACTTTTCAGTTTTGACTGAAGAAATGCTTCATGTTGCTTTCCCTGTGACTTCAGTTGTGATTATTAGAACATCGATCATAACCATCCCTCAGCCACTTGGTGCAGAAGTTATAGAGTAAACAAAACAACAAGAGGTGATACATGAGAAATCTCAACAAGGACAGTACAATGTTACAGTCCAGTAGCAGCATGCAATATTACACCTTTTTTTCAAAAAGATTCTTTCAAACTTCTCACTTCTCACTTTTTATCTTATTTTTATTTATCAAACACATATTTGACATTCAAATTGACACAAACAACTTAATATCTGTATCATTAGTCTAAGACCTTGTTAAGACGTTCGTACACAATTTGGTCAAGTCTGGACGTAGTACCAGCTCATGGAAGTTCAAACTCAGTGGAAGGCATTAGACCCCTGCACAGATGACCTGACCGGTGGCTATACACTTATTTCCAAACACGAGTCTTAGATAAGTTGTGCTACATCAAACACAATTCCTGTCAGATATCCTTCCTTCATATTAGTTTCCAGTAGAGGTATAACTAATAAACAACCTTAATCTGTTAGTAACATTTTGTCTGTAGTGTTCGTCCAGAACCGACTAAAAAAACAAATGTTTAACCAAGAGATTGATGTCTACAATTAAAAGTGGCGACATTTTGTTTGTAGGATCTATTCCAGGGCAGAACAAAACAAAAATTCAATCAAAGTCGACCTCTGCATTCAAAACTGGTGACATTTTGTCAGCATCTTTGATTCAAAACAGACTGAAGCAGTAGTATAACCAAAACTCTACCCCTACAACCAAAGGGGGTGAAAGGATTGCTGATTCAGAGCAGACGAAAATGAATGTTTAAACAAAATTCTACCTGTACAATCAATGTAATGTGTGCAACTGTAATTGGTTCCTATTCATCCATCACTACTGGTCTTGTAACATTAACCCAAAGTCATGCACGGGTGTGACAGAGGGAGACGAGGGGGGACAAGGGTGTGGAATACTTACACGAGTTGACCGTGTGTCTAGTTTTCGCACTAGTACAGTAGGCCTCTATCACCTTCAGGATAAGAGCATCCTCTTCCATCGTACGAGGATCATCTGTAAATACAAACGACCGTTAGCTAACAAGGAGCCATAACAACTTGTATAACACGGACAGACAGCTGAGATACCAACACATTGGTTCCCACTTAATATCACATTTCTGTTATTGTAATGATTACATTAAACACATCTGTATGCATTATAGTTTGTTTAATATCATGTCAGTTTACATCAGCAACTTCTTAATACCCCTTTAAGGTCTGGTTAAGAACATATCACACCTAAGATTTACCAGTACATTCGTACACCACTGAAATGATGGGTAACATGATAACTCAAAGACAACTTTTTTTTAGCCTAAAACAAAATGAGATAAAAGACTGAGCTATCTTTCTATCCTATTGGCCACAGCCAGAAACAAAGCTTTATTTTCTACTGCCTTAGCAATCACCAACTTCCTATTTTGGAAGAAATATGTGAAGCAGATTTGTATTGCCTGGAAATTCTCTGATACCATCAATCTAGTTTGATTCAATCTGATGAGGAAGTAAATAACTAAAACAGGCCAGTACAAAGGAAAACGAAACACTAAAGGCAGAAATTTGTGTTCATCATCAATCAATCAATCAGATGCAGGTCCTCAACTCACACAGCTTATACAACCAAGTTTTTTTGTATTTCTTTGTCAAATATTTGCAAGACTTTAAAATTTAATTAAATTGACTTTCAATTTATTACCATTAACACTTTCACCACTGAAGACCTTAATGGACTCATTAATATCAATGCATGGTAGAGCCTACTAAAGTTACATAGGGGTGAAAGGGTTAAAAATATAAAAAAAACTTTTTTATTATAACTGAACAAAATTTTGCAACAGGAGAAAACAAATCATTCAACAAAGTACATATGTACAATACAAATACAAATTCCATGCAAAGATACTTTTAGCAAGATTTGTTTTTTGCAATAATGATATCTCGGTTTTGGAATATTCTTCAAAACAAACTGAAACAAGAACTATATATGCTGATGCGAAAAAAAGACCTCAACTTTTATGGGTAGACTTTGATGGCAAACCAACAATTGATACAAGAACTTTAATGCAAACTACACTTCATATTTCATAATGAAATTTGGGCATGCTTGATCATTTAAAATTATGCAAAGCAAAATTGGGAGCTGATTGAAAAGAACATTCACCAGAAAACAATGAATAACAAAGGAGGGTGATTTTGATTGGATGTCATTCCAAGCATGCAACAGGAGATATGTCTGGGTCCTTCAGGTTCCGACTTCTACTACAGATCTTCCATGCCATGTTGCCATGCAACAGAAGATGTCTGGGTCCTTCAGGTTCTGACTTCTACTACAGATCTTCCATGCCATGTTACCATGCAACAGAAGATGTCTGGGTCCTTCAGGTTCCGACTTCTACTACAGATCTTCCATGTCATGTTACCATGCGACAGAAGATGTCTGGGTCCTTCAGGTTCTGACTTCTACTACAGATCTTCCATGCCATGTTGCCATGCAACAGAAGATGTCTGCATGGGTCCTTCAGGTTCTGACTTCTACTACAGACCTTCCATGCCATGTTGCCATGCAAAGTGCACAAAAACAACAATCTCAACACATACTGGCAACTTCTATTGTTTGATTCAGAATGGAAGCATAACCTTTTGTAATACTGCAATATATCCACGAAACTTAATAAAAGGGTGTTTTATTGTAACAAGAGGTCTTAGAGGGATCTTGGTGACCACCATTTGTAAGATCTTCGAATGAAAGTTTGATTTTTTCTATTATTCTGTTGGATTAATAGTATTTGTCAACAGTAAATACAATTTAGATAAAGCACCTGAGGACTTTTCTATCCTCAAAGAGTATTTTAATTCTAGTAAATCCGAGTCTGAGAAATAAAACATTTTTTTTTTATATATATTTGTGAATTTCCCCCCTTTATAAGGCCTAGCTGGTCCTCCAGCCCTAAGGGTAGGTCAGGACCTTACTTTCTCATACCCTCTAATTTCCTTCTCATCATATATGTATATGTGTCTTTTGTCGATATATGTATAAACTTAACTGTTACCCTTCCAAGGGAGAATGGACGACCAGGGGATAATGAAATTAAGCACCTAAGATCTTTCCTTCCAGAATATTTGAATATAGTACATTTGAGTGTGGAGAAGAATAATATTTAAATATTGGTCAAATTGATACCATCTTCTACCCAAGATGATCTTTACTAGAAAATAGCAATAACAAACCTTCACTGTCAAAATCAAAGATGGCTACTTGCATTGACAGCCATTTTTTTTATCTGATCAGTCTCAAAATGAAACACACATAACTTTGGACAAAAGAATAACCTTTATATGAAATTTGAAATAGATGAGTTGAGTATTTCTTGAGAAAAGTGTTCACAGGAACTAAGGATGGACAAAGGATGGACCACAGACAAATTTGAACAGCCAACCATCTGATGATGTTGGGGAAAAATATGCAATAAAATATATTCATATCTTAAAGCAAACAAAGCGAATGATATTGATGAAAGACAACAATGACAATTAATGGTGCAATCAAGGTCGTATACAACACTGAAAATAAATGATGCAATTGCAGTCAAATACAACATTGAAAATAAATAATGCAAAAGGGGTCACATACAACATTGAAAATAAATGATGCAAAAGGGGTCACATACAACATTGAAAATAAAAATAAAACATCGCCATATACAAAATCAAAAAGGAGATGCACTGACAAATAGGTAGAACTAACACTGTCTCCATTTGCATTTGTAGTCATACTCATCCTGAGAATGGGTCCGCACTGCCACAAAGGTAGAGAAAACAACAGCCATATAAAAACAGTAAGTCAAATTATGTTTTTTTGGAATTTTAACTTATATTCCACAACAAAAAATAATTTCCGACATTCTTTTGAACTTGAGAGTATTATCACTTAAGCCAAATCTCTATCAGGTGTCACCCTCCATACTTTTCAATAGTTTTTTTTCAATTTAAAAAGTTCCTATTAGAACAGAGATTGAGTATTTCAGTATTTTTAAAAACAGGGCATTATTTGGTGCTTGTTTATGAATCTCATAGAGGGGGTAAATTATGAATTCTTCCAGTGACCTGTACATACCCGGTTTCCGGCGGACGGGTTTGCGACCCATGCGTGGACTGCGGATGACCTCCTCTTTACAGATGAGGTGTTGGCGGAGAGGTGGGGAAGGCCGTAGACATGAAGTACTCCATGTGGAGTGGGTCATCTTGGCTGTCTTGGCTTGTGTCAGCTGACTGATACTCGGCTGGGACGTGGATATCTGTACAAATACATACTTAATAAATGAAGGCAAGTGAACAGAGACAAGATCCTCAATGGGGCCTGTATCAGTTACCTGTTCTGTGATGATTTAACAAAGACGTTTTAAACCAAGTTAAGCTAAAATATGTCAAGCCAAATTTAAGTAGTAGTTAAAATAGTCACTCTTGGGCCTCACCTTCAAGCCCCTTGAAGTGGAAAGCACAACAATCATTTATACAACGCAAAATATCCTTGACCAATCAATCTTAACTCATAATTGGCACTGACCTATATTTACACTCGGAAGATAAGTATTCACTTTACCTACCAGTAATATAAACTATGAATGACATTGATCAACCTGTCAGCTATGAAAAACCTTGACCTACCTAGGAACTTCTTTGACCTACCTTTAAGCTGAGCTGCTTGTTGATAACCTTGACCTATACCTTTAAGCTCCGACAATATATGCAGTTGTAAACTAGGAGATTTGGAAATGACTTTGATCTTGAAAGAGTGACATTGACCTACCTGTAAACTCTGAGGTTTGATGGTCCCTGGGGTGAGTGACCTTGACCTACCTGTAAACTCTGAGGTTTGGTGGTCCCTGAGGTGAGTGACCTTGACCTACCTGTAAACTCTGTGGTTTGGTGGTCCTTGAGGTGAGAGACCTTGACATACCTGTAAACTCTGAGGTTTGGTGGTCTCTGAGGTGAGTGACCTTGACCTACCTGTAAACTCTGTGGTTAGGTGGTCCCTGAGGTGAGTGACCTTGACATACCTGTAAACTCTGTGGTTTGGTGGTCCCTGAGGTGAGTGACCTTGATATACCTGTAAACTCTGTGGTTCGGTGGTCCCTGAGGTGAGTGACCTTGACATACCTGTAAACTCTGTGGTTTGGTGGTCCCTGAGGTGAGTGACAGGCTGACTTGTTGTTTTAAAGCTTCAACCCATGAGGTAGCTTCTGTGTTTGTTCCACAGGTAACAATGATCTCCTCTATCATATTCCCTGTAACAGCAATGATATCACCCATCACACTACTAACAATGATCTACTCCATCATATTCCCTGTAACAGTAATGTTATCCCCCATCACACTACTAACTATGATATCCTCTATCATATTCCCTGTAACAGTAATGTTATCTCCCATCACACTACTAACAATGATCTACTCCATCATATTCCCTGTAACAGTAATGTTATAACCCCTCACACTACTAACTATGATATCCTCTATCATATTCCCTGTAACAGCAACGTTATCACCCATCACACTACTAACAATGATCTACTCCATCATATTCCCTGTAACAGTAATGTTATCCCCCATCACACTACTAACTATGATCTCCTCTATCATATTCCCTGTAGCAGCAATGTTATCTCCCATCACACTACTACCAATGATCTCCTCTATCATATTCCCTGGAGCAGCAATGTTATCTCCCATCACACTACTACCAATGATCTCCTCTATCATATTCCCTGGAGCAGCAATGTTATCTCCCATCACACTACTACCAATGATCTCCTCTATCATATTCCCTGTAACAGCAATGTTAGCACCAATCCCACTACTAACAATGATCTCCTCTATCATATTCCCTGGAGCAGCAATGTTATCTCCCATCACACTACTAACAATGATCTCCTCCATCATATTCCCTGTAACAGCAATGTTATCACCTATCACACTACTAACTATGATCTCCACTATCATATTCCCTGTAACAGCAATGTTATCACCCATCACACTACTAACAATGATCTCCTCTATCATATTCCCTGTAACAGCAATGTTATCACCCATCACACTACTAACAATGATCTCCTCTATCATATTCCCTGTAACAGCAATGTTATCACCCATCACACTACTAACAATGATCTCCTCTATCATATTCCCTGTAACAGCAATGTTATCACCCATCACACTACTAACAATGATCTCCTCTATCATATTCCCTGTAACAGCAATGTTATCACCCATCACACTACTAACAATGATCTCCTCTATCATATTCCCTGTAACAGCAATGTTATCACCCATCACACTACTAACAATGATCTCCTCTATCATATTCCCTGTAACAGCAATGTTATCACCCATCACACTACTAACAATGATCTCCTCTATCATATTCCCTGTAACAGCAATGTTATCACCCATCACACTACTAACAATGATCTCCTCTATCATATTCCCTGTAACAGCAATGTTATCACCCATCACACTACTAACAATGATCTCCTCTATCATATTCCCTGTAACAGCAATGTTATCACCCATCACACTACTAACAATGATCTCCTCTATCATATTCCCTGTAACAGCAATGTTATCACCCATCACACTACTAACAATGATCTCCTCTATCATATTCCCTGTAACAGCAATGTTATCACCCATCACACTACTAACAATGATCTCCTCTATCATATTCCCTGTAACAGCAATGTTATCACCCATCACACTACTAACAATGATCTCCTCTATCATATTCCCTGTAACAGCAATGTTATCACCCATCACACTACTAACAATGATCTCCTCTATCATATTCCCTGTAACAGCAATGTTATCACCCATCACACTACTAACAATGATCTCCTCTATCATATTCCCTGTAACAGCAATGTTATCACCCATCACACTACTAACAATGATCTCCTCTATCATATTCCCTGTAACAGCAATGTTATCACCCATCACACTACTAACAATGATCTCCTCTATCATATTCCCTGTAACAGCAATGTTATCACCCATCACACTACTAACAATGATCTCCTCTATCATATTCCCTGTAACAGCAATGTTATCACCCATCACACTACTAACAATGATCTCCTCTATCATATTCCCTGTAACAGCAATGTTATCACCCATCACACTACTAACAATGATCTCCTCTATCATATTCCCTGTAACAGCAATGTTATCACCCATCACACTACTAACAATGATATCCTCTATCATATTCCCTGTAACAGCAATGTTATCACCCAGATGTTATCACCATTCACATTACTTACAAGGAGATCATTTCTATTATCTACTTTTCAAAATGAAACTGTATCAACTAAGGCAAAACGTCAATTTTGTTGCTATACACATCCATACTTTGAAAATCAGCAGCATCCCTGTGGTTATGGTCCAATCGTTGTCTAAAATGTTTGGACAGGTTAGCATCTTATGCTTAGTTATCTTCAACAGTCACGTTTAGAAAAATGCTTTGATAGGTTGATATTTTATCCTGTACAATCTATCAGGAATCTCTCTGTGTAGATTACTAATCTTATCTCAACTGCTTCCATACAAAAATTAGGAAACATTTTCTTTCCTAGCTATACTGTATTTAAAATGTACTCTACAGAAAATTGAGCCCACATGTTGATAAAACATAAAACTGACATAATGAATGTTTTAAAAGAATAGCTGCGGTTCCTAGCCATAACAAGGACCGACCAACCAGAATTAACTGGGGTTAATTTGTAAAGTGATACTGCTGAAAAGTTGAAACTCAAAATTTGTATGTGTTTTACACTGAAGCCGTGGGGTTAGGCGGGAACATAGGACTTGTGACCAGACCTAACACATTTTACAGCTTTACCGATACCTCGTGCCAAACTTTTAAGTGTTAAGGCTCCAAAAGCGACTCACACAAATTTAGCACTAAACATCTCATTTCCTCATTGGCATTTGGTTCCAAATTTTAAACCATTAAAACCATAATATTTCCTCTTTTTTTTTTTTATTTGGTTCTATATTTATCTAATGAAGATTATGAGCAGTCCAATGGCTATAAATATACAGGTTGCTCTGAAACCACAACATCCAAGACACTGTTTGGTGCCTGTAAACTATTGTAATCTAAATCCACTTTGAAATAAAGAGTTAGTGAAGCATGACTGTATGTAATAGAATGCTGTTATTTATGTAAACTATAGTATTTCCGTCCCACTGATATTTTCAATCCTGTCTCTTTCAAAATATCCCTGCCTTGTATTGCATCAACTTTACTGTATGATGGAGTAGTTGCTTTCAACTGTAATAACACGATAGGTTAAAGCTAGAAAGTATCTGTAAAACATACACCCCAGTCCCACTTTGCTGCAAATTCTAACCACAGACATTGAGTGGTTGAATGCAAAGTTTAAGTATGAAGAAGAAAATATAGGTCACATTGACCAGTACCATTCTCTTTAATCTTCTTGGTAATGATCTATGCATTGTCCGCATTCCAAACAGTAACACCCTAATATTTACATGATTCATAACATTTCACTACAAGAAATATTAACCTTAGATCTTCAGTGATGATAACACGACCACAGCACACTTACCACTTACACATAAATACAGGCTGCCAATATTTAAAACCATCATTTTTTTTCTCTCCAAATAGCAAAGAATGCATTTTACACTCCAGAAATTCAACAAGCAGGTATATACTGTATTCAACCTCTTAAACACCCCTTCCCTTCTAAGTGCCTCCTATCCTTTTTTATCATAAAGTGTTTCTTGACTTTATAATAAATTACCAACTTCAACAAAAAAATATCTATTACTACTATTTTTAAGAGTATTGGAAGGCTTGTAACAGTTCTAATTTGTCTCTAATTGTTAAATACCCAGTACAACTATTAGGGTGAATACAGTGCCCAGTAGAACTATTAGGGTGAATACAGTGCCCAGTACAACTATTAGGGTGAATACAGTGCCCAGTACAACTATTAGGGTGAATACAGTGCCCAGTACAACTATTAGGGTGAATACAGTGCCCAGTACAACTATTAGGGTGAATACAGTGCCCAGTACAACTATTAGGGTGAATACAGTGCCCAGTACAACTATTAGGGTGAATACAGTGCCCAGTACAACTATTAGGGTGAATACAGTGCCCAGTACAACTATTAGGGTGAATACAGTGCCCAGTACAACTATTAGGGTGAATACAGTGCCCAGTACAACTATTAGGGTGAATACAGTGCCCAGTACAACTATTAGGGTGAATACAGTGCCCAGTACAACTATTAGGGTGAATACAGTGCCCAGTACAACTATTAGGGTGAATACAGTGCCCAGTACAACTATTAGGGTGAATACAGTGCCCAGTACAACTATTAGGGTGAATACAGTGCCCAGTAGAACTATTAGGGTGAATACAGTGCCCAGTAGAACTATTAGGGTGAATACAGTGCCCAGTAGAACTATTAGGGTGAATACAGTGCCCAGTACAACTATTAGGGTGAATACAGTGCCCAGTACAACTATTAGGGTGAAAACAGTAAGTTTTATTCAAGATCTTACAACCTTTCCTTTTACCCATATCTAGAGGAATCATCAAGAACACAGCATCATATATAGGTACAGAGATTAGCAGTACTGCCAGCCCAGGAGAAATCAATTCTTCAGGCCCGCATTCCTGACCCAATTCATCACACCGTTCTACTTAAGTGTTATAAAAAGAAACAAATTGTGAAGGCTTAATGACTATGTAGTAAAACAGATATGACACTGATTTCTCCAGGTGTTTCCTATAAATGTGTTCCTTTTTTCATCAGTAAGAAATACATTTCAGAGGCTTTTGCAGTAAAATCTTGACAGAAGTCACTTTGTGTTTTACCAAATGTCAATTATATAATATTTACTGTCACATGTTGTTTTTTACTGTGATCTCTAGAGCTTTCATACAATCAGCAACAGGGTTAGAGGAATTGTTTACCCTATATAATAACAGTTACATGCTACCTTACACATTATACCTGTGATTTGTGTTACAGTTAAGGTTATATACTACATTTCACGATTTGTGTTAGAGTTATCTCCCTTAAGGCGTGATGCTACCTTATTAAACACAATGCCTGTAATTTGAGATAAACACTGTTACTAGGTATTAGTTAATCAGGTAAAATAGATTTGTGTCTGGTTGTGTAGCTTTCTAACAAGTTAATGAGTCGAAAATTACCATTCTTAAAAAAAAGTCAACAGCTTTCAGGGTTGCCAACTCTCACGGCGTGAGACAAAATCTCACGCATTCGTCACGCTGAGACGACCTTACTCACGCATAATAATGTCTCACACCACGTGAGCCATAAATCTCACGCATTCGAAAATATTCTCCCTGTATCCCACGCGAAGCCATAAATCGGCAATTTTTAGCTTGGGTCGTACAAAGGGAAATAACTCTTATTGCAACGTTGTGCTTTGGAAGTGAGCTGACGCAAGGTGTCGCTTTACATCCGGTGGGTGGGAACGAATGTAAATATATCGTAAGGTGAGTCAATCAATCAATCAAGCTGTTTTCGCTCCTAAACTTAATATTGAACGTACCTATCACACAGAAAAAGAAAGTTTTACTAATAATATCGTCGTGTATTAGGAAAGATTGTTTTTAGGTCGGGCCTTCACAAATATTAAGAGAAAACTATTCTTGAATCACGAACAGACAGTCGCTAATGGCTGATGAAAAGTTCAAAGTTATTTTTTGCAGTAAAGTGGCGTATATGATTTAACACACCAGAGACTTGTAGTAATAAACAATTTTAATCTGATGCGATGAAAAAATAACGAGTTTTCGGGAAGTGCTTTGGCATGTTGGATAGACATAGTACATAGGTAGTCCAATACATAATCATGCAACAAATCGGATTGCAAACGTGGTATAAATGCTAAGGGTCTTACTGTTATTTGTTGCTTAGGATAGTAGCCAGAAGTAATTGTAAAATATTTTTCCACTGTCAAATTATCATATTTTTTTTATCTTTCATGTTATGAACTTTTTCATGTTACTATGGTAAAGTTCTTACTTTTGATATGAACTGTTATTTTTTTAACAGGTCATGGAAATACAGAAAAAAAGACTGGTACCTGTTCTAGCCAAGGGTGGAATCGTTACAAGAAAGGCCTTTGATTATATAATGTGTTGCATTTCTGATGTCAGTTTTTTTTGTGTGATAAATAAAAATCTTTTATATATCTGCAAAAAATGTTTTGTTTTATTTTCCTACAAAGACCTTTAAGTGAAAATATCAACAATGCAGATGTTATAGTAGTCAGAGAAAGCCAGGATTTGTTTGATACATTTGTAAATGTTATCTTAACACCCAAAACGATGTTACACCGCGACACCGTCAAAAGTCTCACACATTGTAAACCCAGTGGAGGGAGATCTCCCACACTGGACTCCTAAAAGGTTGGCAACCCTGAGCTTTCCAAGAGCAGTATGTATACAATTTGTCTAATACCATATACAAATTGTTGCTATTTTAACTTGATATGGAATGAAAACTGATGACAACTTTTCTATATCATTTAAAATCACCATTGTAAATCTTAAACACTTTTCTTTTATAAAATTGAACCTAACAAACTGTTAAACACCAAACATAGATAGAAACTCATATGAACTGATCATATTTTCTAATTTAGATATGAGCTACATGCCTACACTATCCTGACATGTAAACCAGTAAATTTGATATATGTTGATGTGCATACCTAGTATCTGAAATGTAACTACACATATCTAATATATGAATGAGCAAATGTAACATGTAAATAGTATAACTGATATGTAAATGAGCGTACCAGTATATAATATGGATAATAAACACTACCTAAAATGTAAATGAGCAAACATAATATGCAAATGAATATTCATATTTGATATGTAAATGAGTATACCTGATATGCAAATAAGCAAACCAGATATGTAAATTAGCATACTTGATATGCAAATAAGCAAACATGATATGGAAACATACAACGGATAATGTACCGTATAATGAAAAAAATGTTTCAATGCACTAAGCAAAATGAACTTACCTGAAATTTCAAAGCTGAGTGACTCTTGATTTTCTGCCTCGTCCTCACACAGACATACACTCATACCACTGAGGGGTAGGGAACCCTGTGGAGGAACACCAATTAATTAGTAGCTCACACTGAAACACGGCACCTGTTACTCTCAACCTTGGCAGGCAAAAGGTCGAAGTCTCCACTGATCCAGATAAGGAGGGTTTGAGAGTGCTACAGAGTATGATTTTCCATATGTTTTAGGTGTCGGGGACTGAGTGTGGGTACACACACTGAGGCTGTGTGTAAACAATGCCATGTTATTACAGGGTGTGATCAAAATACACGTTTCCAACTCAACAGATGTCAACATTGGATCAGTCTCGCTCAAGTGCTTCAACAGATGTCACCAGTATCTCATTCTCAGCTAAGATGTTCAGCTTCAGATACAACTGATGCCGATTTAATTCCCAACATTTAAGGACGATTCTTTATCTCCAGCCATCGTTTACGCTGCTTTGCGTGATTGACATTCTAACATGTTCCTATATACACACATAGATATAGACCCCCATGACTAGCATTGCATGACATCATCAGTTGGAGCCTTCTCAGACGACTTTTATCAGTGTTATATTTTTATGATCCTTCAATACCTTGTAACATGAAATTATACCCAAGTATACACAGTGACACATTGTGTTAGAGAATACACAGTGACACATTCTGTTAGAGTATACACAGGGACGCATTGTGTTAGATTATACACAGTGACACAATGTGTTAGAGTATACAGAGTGACACATTGTGTGAGAGTATACACAGTGCCACATTGTGTTAGAGCATACACAGTGACGCACTGTGTTAGAGTATACAGAGTGACACATTGTGTATACTCTAACCCAATGTGTCACTGTGAATACTCTAACACAATATGTCTCTGTGTATACTATAACACAATGTGTCATTGTGTTAGAGTACGCACAGTGACACATTGAGTTAGAGTATACACAATGTGTCACTGAGTGTACTCTAACACACTGTGTATACTCTACCACAATGTGTCACTGAGTGTACTCTAACACAGTGCGTCACTGTGTATGCTCTAACACAATGCGTCACTGTGTATAGTCTAACACAATGTGTCAGTGTGTGTACTCTAACACACTGTGTATACTCTCACACAATGTGTCACTGTTTATACTCTAACACAACGTGTCACTGTGTGTACTCGAACACAATGTGTCACTATGTGTACTCTAACACACTGTGTCACTGTGTATTCTCTAACACAATGTGGCACTGTGTATACTCTCACACAATGTGTCACTGTCTATACTCTAACACAACGTGTCACTGTGTGTACCCTAACACAATGTGTCAGTGTGTGTACTCTAACACAATGTCTCACTGTTTATACTCTAACCCAATGTGTCTCTGTGTATACTCCAACACAATGTGTCACTTGGCATACTCTAACACAATGTGTCGCTGTGTGTACTCTAACACAGTGCGTCACTGTGTATGCTCTAACACAATGCGTCACTGTGTATAGTCTAACACAATGTGTTACTGTGTATACTCTAAAACAATGTGTCACTGTGGATACTCTAACACAATGCGTCCCTGTGTATACTCTAACTCAATGTGTCACTGTGCGTACTCTAACACAATGTCTCACTGTTTATACTCTAACACAATTTGTCACTGTGTATACTTTACCACAATGTGTCACTGAGTGTACTCTAACACAATGTCTCACTGTTTATACTCTAACCCAATGTGTCACTGTGAATACTCTAACACAATTTGTCACTGTGTATACTCAAACACAATGTGTCACTATGTGTACTCTAACACACTGTGTATACTCTCACACAATGTGTCACTATGTATACTCTAACACCATGTGTCTCTGTGTATACTATAACACAATGTGTCACTCTGTATACTCTAACACGATGCGTCACTGTGTATGCTCTAACACAATGCGTCACTGTGTATGCTCTAACACAATGCGTCCCTGTGTATACTCTAAAACAATGTGTCACTGTGGATACTCTAACACAATATGTCTCTGTGTATACTCTAACACAATGACACATTGTGTTAGAGTATACACAGTGACACATTGTGTTAGAGCACATGTCCCACTTCTACAAAAACTTCAAACAAACAACAAGTCCATTGGACCTATTTCAATTTTAATTTCCAAATTACCAGTGGCACCGTAAGATAAGATGATATCAAAGCTGAGGAAACCAGAGCACTTTCTCTGAAATCAGCCCTTCTTTCATAATCTTCAGAATGTAGGTCAAATGTAATGGATGTTTTCCTAAACATTACTGTATATATGCAATCAAAGTCACTGACTGTGGAGTGGAGAATTAACTCCTACTAGTTCCCAATTTGTTCTAACTGGTAAACTTTGTCAAATGTAGAATATGGTAAACAGGTCTTTTTTACCATTTCCTCACTCAGACCTGAACACAGTAACTCACTTTACCACCTCAGTGAGTAACTGAGCTGTTGACTCTCGAGTAGTGACTCACTTTACCCCATCAACGACAAACTGAGCTGTTGACTCTCGAGCATCAATGAGTAACTGAGTTGTTGACTCAAGAGTAGTGACTCCCTTTACCACATCAACGACAAACTGAGCTGTTGGCTCTCGAGTAGTGACTCACTTTACCACATCAACGACAAACTGAGCTGTTGCCTCTCGAGTAGTGACTCACTTTACCCCATCAACGACAAACTGAGCTGTTGGCTCTCGAGTAGTGACTCACTTTACCACATCAACGACAAACTGACCTGTTGACTCTCGAGTATCAACGACAAACTGAGTTGTTGACTCTCGAGCAATGACTCACTTTACCACATCAATGAGTTACTGAGCTGTTGACTCTCGAGTATCAACGACAAACTGAGCTGTTGGCTCTCGAGTAGTGACTCACTTTACCCCATCAACGACAAACTGAGCTGTTGACTCTCCCCCAGTGACTCACTTAACCACATCAACGACAAACTTAGCTGTTGACTCTCGAGTAGTGACTCCCTTAACCACATCAACGACAAACTTAGCTGTTGACTCTCGAGTAGTGACTCGCTTTACCACATCAACGACAAACTGACCTGTTGACTCTCGAGTATCAACGACAAACTGAGTTGTTGACTCTCGAGCAATGACTCACTTTACCACATCAACGACAAACTGAGCTGTTGACTCTCGAGCATCAATGAGTAACTGAGTTGTTGACTCTCAAGTAATGACTCACTTTACCACATAAATGAGTTACTGAGTTGTTAAATCTCGAGCAGTGACTCACCTCATACTGGTATCCGCTGAGTCGTGGACTCATGGACAACATGACAAGGACACTAGGAAAGAGGACGAAGATGCGGTCACACTTGTCTCCAGCTAGAGTCTCCACCTGGACATGGGAGAGGTGAACAACCTCTCCTAGCTTGGTCATCTCCTGTAACACAAACTCTCAAATTCTCACCTGTCCACCTACTACCTGTAACACAAATTCTCACCTGTCCACCTATATATATAGCTACTACCTGCGACACAAATTCTCAAATTCTCACCTGTCCGCCTACTAACTGTGACATGGTATCAGCATACAGGTATAATGCAATTTGATGGAGCTTTTAACCACCCATTTACATTTGTTCAAAAAAATGTATTGAGTGAATAGTCTGGATTTTCCTCTAATTATTTTTTGTTTTAAAAAAAACATTTGTAAAAGGAAAACAACAATGAAATGGCTCAAACATAGCTAACCTTGTATTTATACTGGTGATAAAATGTTGGGTACACTTACACAGCATTGAAATACATGTAGTGTAAGGTTTTCAGAACAATGTCAATGGAGGAGGGGAGGGGGGAATGCAGTTAGTGGACAAGTTATAAAATATATCAAGGAATTTGAAAAAGAACTGATTTTCAGCACAGTACGACTTTATCTTAATATCAATAACGTTACTATCACACTTAGTTGCCTCAGTATCAAAACTCCACTGGGCGCCCAACTCCACCAGACAGGTAAAGTCAGTGTGGAGAAGCTAACACCAATTCAATAATCAAATTTAAAAAAAGTCACACTTGGAATACATAAAACAATCCCCTCCACCTTTACGTAGCGTGCTTACAGTGCTAATAGAAAAGTTGCATTTATAATTGGGAGTGAAATGTCCTACTTACACAACAACAAGAGTTTCTCTTTGTGTCTGAACAATCATCAAATGTTTACACACATGTCAAATATCAGGAACAACAGCAGATAGACCAATAAATGAGATTTATCATAATGGAAAACAAATGTGACAACATTTTTTTTTTTTCAATTTTGATAATGTCAGTATTTCTACATTCACAGGAATATTCATACAAACCATAAATTCAATATTTTATAGAATATCAAAAGACCACAAAAGTATGGCCATACATACCTCACAATCTCTTAATTAAGTGAACCTTGTCCAGTAAGACAAGGCTGAACTACCTGATCTACTCAGAGCCTTATACCTGGTGTACAGGGCTGCTAGGTGTTTGTAGATAGGTGGAGTTATCTCCCTTACATGTGTCTGACCACAATTAACCAGCTGTGAACTGTCAGAGATAACCTTATCACATAAGTGCTACAGTATCCTTACTTTATGACTTTTTTTCGTACCAGGAATATGCATCTGACATACAATGTGAGCTGTACACTACCACATGTGACCACACCAGGGCAGACTGACTCAAAATAAAACTTCCAGAAATAATCCTCGCAAGACAAGTGGTTCTGTACAACTGATCAGTCAATCTTATTTATTTTACTGAATTTATTTTAAAACATGAAAGCTAATGAATGATTTCATCTTTTGCGACTGTTTTAGGAAGAAGCTTCAAATGAAGTGGAAGGGCTTTGGTAATCAGTGATCATCTAATTGAATTATTTACAGCTTCACAAGGACATCATTTGTACGTGATTATATATGTGTACACTATCAATTAAAACCTACATAAGGATATACACCAGCTTACAAATCATTCATGCAATGTTTGAAAAGTTGTTTGCAGAAATTCTCTCTAATAACATGAATTACTAATTAAGGATTACATTGGTGTTATCATGCATAGTTATAGTCCTCACAAAGTCCTAAACACAAAGTCCTAAACACTGGTTTACATATGGCTGTATCTGAAGGGAATTTTTGAGTCTTTTAAAGAAGGCAAAATAAAGTTACAGTAACATAGTACAAGGCCTTTAATAGAATGCGTTGTGTTCAGTCACGTTGCATGAATATCATAAATGCTTTTCAAACGAACCTTATTACTTACATCACAAGCCGGCTTAGTATTAACGTATTTATAAAGTAAAACCTGCAGTAACGGACCATACTCGGAAATGAAAAAGAAAATGGTCACTTTAATCCAGGTGGTCTCTTAATGGGGAACATTGAACAATAACACAGGTTAAGGTCTTTTAATGGGGAACACTGAACAATAACACAGGTTAAGGTCTTTTAATGGGGAACACTGAACAATAACACAGGTTAAGGTCTTTTAATGGGGAACACTGAACAATAACACAGGTTAAGGTCTTTTAATGGGGAACACTGAACAATAACACAGGTTAAGGTCTTTTAATGGGGAACACTGAACAATAACACAGGTTAAGGTCTTTTAATGGGGAACATTGAACAATAACACAGGTAAAGGTCTCTTAATGGGGAACATTGAACAATAACACAGGTTAAGGTCTCCTAATGGGGAACATTGAACAATAACACAGGTTAAGATATCTTAATGGGGAACATTGAACAATAACACAGGTTAAGGGCTCTTAATGGGGAACATTGAACAATAACACAGGTTAAGGTCTCCTAATGGGGAACATTGAACAATAACACAGGTTAAGGTATTTTAATGGGGAACATTGAACAATAACACAGGTTAATGTCTCTTAATGGGGAACATTGAACAATAACACAGGTTAAGGTCTCCTAATGTAGGCGATCATGAGCAGGTCAGACTTTTGACTGTGAATACTTTAATCATACACAGTGAGCCAATGACAAACTATGTAACACAGTCCATTTGAAGTCAGGTACAAAGTAATAACTTAGTCATTCAAATTAAATTTCTTCTGTTGTGTTAAGCTGGTTAAAAACTGAACAACTCAATTACTGAATATAAGGAAAGAATAACACAAAAGGACGGTATTATGTACACACAGAAATCTATGTGAAGGTGATGTTGAGTTACCACAATATTTAAGATATCCTTTTAAGTTACCACGGTATGATGACCAAAGCATCGGCAGCTTATATCAAGTCATATAAATGTGCCTGTATGAAGCTGACCAGCCATGTTTAGTAAGAGAGGAACCTTACCTCCCCCTCCCAGCCTTTTATTGCACTTGTTAATATTTCATACTCCATTTCCTTTAACTTCCTTACATCCATACATGCATTCTGTAAAACAAAGGAAAACAGGTTAGTTCACACATACACAGATATAATGAGCTGGTCTGTATACAAAAGATATATATATACTTCACTACCCTATACATAAATATAGACTACAATAGGTATACTTCACTATACCCTATACATAAATATATAGACTACAATAGGTATACTTCACTATACCCTATATATAAATATATAGACTACAATAGGTATACTTCACTACCCTACACATAAATATATAGACTACAATACAATAGGTATACTTCACTACCATATACATAAATAAGTACTCTGTCTGTAGTAAAACAGTACTCTGTCTGTAGTGAAACAGTACTCTGTCTGTAGTGAAACAGTACTCCGTCTGTAGTGAAACAGTACTCTGTCTGTAGTGAAGTGAAACAGTACTCTGTCTGTAGTGAAACAGTACTCTGTCTGTAGTGAAACAGTACTCTGTCTGTAGTGAAACAGTACTC